AAAAAAAAAAAAAAAAAAGCCAAACACATTTGGACAAAAATTCTATAGAACCATCAGATGGTTTTCTTATGGAGCTATCAATCACTTAATGTATTGATATTGTTTAAAGAATATTTATTGTAGGACACACATAATTAGTTCAGAACCGATACCGAACTGATAACATTTCGGTAACTGATTTTTTGTTACCGCTAGCCTGGGCAACAAAAGAGAGTTGAAGTCTTTTATATGGGCCAATTAAAATTATAGAAGGATAATAATCAATATACAAAATTAATAGTAAAATAAAAGAAGTGTTGAATTGTTAATTTACAATTGTGGACAAGTTGGCATGGTGAGTGACATTTAAAAACAAAAAATCAGAGGGTGCAAAAATAAATTTAATGGGGGTGGAGCGGAGGAATTAAAATTTGTAATATTAATAGTAAAATAAATTAAAATTTGAGGGGAGACTATTGCCCCCTATCACTACATGTAAATTCACCCCTAACCGTGGATGACTTCATAAGCCGAACCATCTGATAGTTTCATAGCAAAACTGCACGTTCGGAAGAATGTATTTGATTGAATAAAAGATTTATATATTTTTTTTTTCCCGGAACGGTAGGGGAACTATATAACCAGATGCACAAATGTGCGAATAAAAGATACAACGCTCCCAATGGGAGAATAAATTGGGAAGACAGGTCCGACGACCGCCTAGAAGCCCGACTCTAGCAACGCTAGAAACAAAAACAAGACTCAAGAAACAACTACCACTACTAAACAACTAACACGACAAAACACAAGAAGAACTACAAAGCTCCCCACAGGAGAATAGAGACAAGAGTTTCTCCCAACAGGAGAATAAAGGTTGCTCCTGCTCTGACTTACAGAGGCCAACGACACAAACCAAAACACAACTTCTAAATAAAGCAGACGAAACCACGGGAAACAAACTAAAACAAAGAAGCCTAAAAGACAAAGAAACAAACACAAAAAATAGCCTAAAGGAAGAATGCCCTTCCCCGGAAATCAGACGAGTCAGAAGTCATGGAGAAACAATTGAATCACAAAAGATCCCAAGACCAAGACCAACTTCTGAAACTGCTGCCGAACGCCTATACAGAAGCCAAACCAGACCTTGGACCTAACCGGAATCAATCCATCTCAACCGGGTGGACAAACAGCTGGCTCCTCCAGTCAGCCCCACGTAAGCTCGCCTAAAGCCACTAGCCGGGCTC